CACAAGCTGAGCAACTAGAAAGCTGATTTATCCTACTCATGGATGAATGAAGCAGAGACAAGCTTGATTGTCCAATCGGCCAAAGTGCCCCCAAGGCAAAAGTAATGATCATGTCAAATAAGGGTTCATCCTTAAAAGCAATAATACTCAAATTTCCCCATATCCTAGAGTTGCCCCCTCATTCATTGAATCTAAATCCACATGTCTTGTGTGTAAGTCCACTTCAACATCATATCTTGGTGAGCTTATAAGAGCATGTTGAAGGTCGCCTTCTAAATGGATGATGCATTGCTCCAAAGAGAGAAAACATAAGGAGACTATCATGCTTGATTTTTGCTTGTTCTTGAAGTAGTTTATGAAACCTACCTACAAACAAAAAATAAAAGAAAAATAAACAAAGTCAGAATAATGTTAGAAGTCATCCCATAATTTTGCATGATTTAGTGCTTCAACAATTGCTATATGGATTCACACATTATCGATTTCCAATCCTTAAGGAGCCTCGGATGAAGCAAAATATCTTTGAACCCCTTGAGATTTCCATAGACTCCAAAGGCTATAAAAAAGACACTTACAAGCAGCTCATTACAAAGATGGCCAGTCATTACAAAGTAAAAGCCTAGTACATCATACTAAGTACATCAACATGGTAGCATTCAAGTCCCTAGTAAAATCTAACTCCTAGATCTTTCAAAGTACAATTGTTTAATGAGGAGTTCCATTCTTTTCCTTGATTGTTGGAGCAACATGAAGTGTAATGTGCTTGAGCTTTTGATCTTGACGTTGCTCTTGGTTCTTATTCTTCTAGGCTTGCCCCTTGGACTTAGCAATTGTCAATGACGGGAGTTAAAGATCTCCTCAATCCTCTGTTGATCAAAGCTTTCTCCACAAATGAACATTTCAAAAGGTGTCTAGACTGACCAAGACTTGCGCTTGACCATGTCTGAATCCATATCTCAATTGTTGGAGGCAGAGAATCCAACAAGATTATGGGAGTGCATGGAAAGAAGTCAACATGGATGCCAAACAACAGATAAAGGATGAAGGAACATGAATATGCTCTAAAGTGATAATGTGTGTGGAGTTGTATCCTAAAGCATGCATTTTTGGGAATGCATGAAAAAAACATGGATGGGAAATGAGTGATAAAGGATGCAAGAATATAAATATGTTGACAAATGGGAAGGTGTGTGAAATTGTATCGTAAAACATGAATTTTTCTTCATTAAGTATGCCAAGCGAATTTCAAAGGAGAAGCTGGTGATTCACTATTACAGCCCATTAAATTGGCATTCATAGGAATATCATTCCTTTGAAAAGAAAGCAAATGCCATGAAGTTTAAAGAAAAAGTGAATGGTGTGATGCTTGGAGAAAACGATGATGTGATGCTCCAAAATCATGTGCTCAGATTATTTTGATGTTTAAAAGATGGACTTTTCATGAATTTATCTTAGAAGAACCTCTTTTTTCTTTTCTTTTTTTCTTTTCTTTTTTTCAAAAATGTGAAATGCTTTGGATTTAGTTTGATAAGGCCCACAAGTTTGAAACATGCAACAAAATGCAAGATGGTGAGAACTTCTTCGAATCAAAGCTTGTACATTTTTTTTTTTTTTT